GCATAATTCCCGATACGGTATTTTAAATGTTTATTTACCAACCAAAATTCGTTCTCCCACCGATGATTAATCTGCTACGTATTATATTTAAGCTTTAGTTTAATTAAGAAGTAAACTTATAAGTAATAATTACTAAATATTAATAGAAATATTGTTGTTTCTACCTGGGTTAGATTATGATCATGACATGCGGATTGCAAATTTCATATTATTCAAGTGATTGGATGAAACCCAAACCATTTGGGCGGTTAAAAGTAGAAACCAAGGAATTCGATATTGTAAAAAGAAAATTTAACATCTAAATTTTGATAGCCCATATCTTGATGAATTTTAAGGTTCTCTTTATAATTTAAAATTTAGAGGACTTTAAGATTTAAATTATGGAGATAATCCTAAAATATGGCTGTTAAAATTTAAATGCTAATTTTTTTTTGCTATGAGTGCTGTAGAGTAAAAACCTGATAAGTGAATACTTAAATTTATACTGTAGTAAACTAAGTCTTATTATATATAATTGATAAGTTTGCTACAGTAATAAACTTAAAAGATTCACTTCCGGGTTTTTATTCTGCAGCACTCATATCTAATTACTTTTTGATCGAAAAATTCAAGTCATGTGTTCGAATGTATGATTTGTTACATCGTAACTTGTAATTACTCTTTGTAAAAAAAAAAAAAAAAATAGTCTCAGCAAGCAATTTACAAAAAGCATTAACTAATATTTTTTTTTTTTTAACATATTCAAATTCGACTGCATTAAATAAATACTATTATGTGGTTATATTTTTTTATTCTCGACTTTGGACTAAAGATGTGCAAGGTAATAATGTAATTTATTTTCTTACCCAATACTTACACTTACGTATTAGAATGATTATTACTTACTGTATTACGATTTTCAAATGTAATCTGGAGAATAAAATTTTGCATACATCATAATTCTTAGGAAATAATTAAAAATAATAAGTCATATTGGCGGAAAATTGAAAGTGAACGATGAGATTAAATAGAATCTAAGCCAATAAGATATAAATATAACGTGATTACTGAGATGATTTGATCAGTGATCGTAAAATTGCTTATTGATCGCTTATATCCCATTTATAAGTAGTGCTCCGAACAGATTAGCTAGAATACCACCAAAACTAGCCTAAACCGGATTAATTTCGGATCATTTTAATTAAGCTGTTTATGAGTATCATTTTGTCGTCACCTAACTAAAAATTTCCGCATGTGATCATATGTTACTTACTTTGCCCATCTCTACTTTGGACTAAAGAAATTCTTATTCTTTTATATACATATGCAAACTAATAAAAATATTTATAACATTAGTTTTAAAATTTATAATATCAACTAATCTTACAAGATATTAATGTATATTAATATTTATTTTTTACAAAAAGAATTAAGTATTTTCTAAAAGTGTTGGTGTTATTAAAATAAGTATTATCAAGTCAGTGCAATTTACAGTAGTAGATCCGTTGTTTTTTTTTTCAACTCATAAAGTTATTACAAATTTAAATCATTTAACAACTTCATTATCAAGAAAGTTTCGTAAATCTGGGGCTGTTTGCTGAGATTTAAATTTTCTAAAAAGTCAAATCATCATTACGTAAGCATATCAATTATGGCGAATTACTATTGTTAATAAATAACATATTTTACCGTTTTCTGAGCTTAAATTAAATTATTTAATTATATATATGTGTGTATCTTTCAAAAGTATTTACTAATTATAATGAATTTTAGTGTTGAAGGCAACCAATTTTTTAAAGAGGGCGATTACCTTTCAGCATGGAATTGCTACACAAGAGGTCTCGTACAAACACCGAAAAATCCAGTATTATGGTCTAATAGATCTCTTGCAAACATGAAGTTTGAAATTTTTGAACTTGGTTATACTGATGCTTTAAAAGCTTATAATCTCTTAATCTTCAATGATCAACTTATAAAAGATCGAAATTTACAATTACTTTTCATAAAATCAATTGATCATATGTCAGAATCACTTTCGAAATTTGGCGTTTTCTTACGTGCTATCTCTATTTTAGATTCTTTTCTAAACAATCCCTCTTATAAAAAATTTTTTTCTACACGACTTCGTCAACAATTGCTAAAAAAGAAAGATGACTATCAAATTCAGTTAAATTCAAAGCTTGCACTCAATAAAATGTTCGTTTATGACTCATTAAAACATATTCAAAACCATACCGAAATAGTTAAACGAATGATGGATATGGGAATGACGAAATTTAATTATCCTTGGGATATAGAGAGATTGGAAAATCTCAGGGATGAAAAGAATATTGAAAGTTTACAAAGAGAATTGTCTTCTAAAAGAGTTAATATTGCACAATTAAATCTTAATAAACAAAATCATAAAACATTTACAGTTCAATTGGGAATATTTGCAAAAGAAGAAATTCCAGAAGGAACAGTAATTTTGAACGAAGTTCCATTTCTTACCGTTCATGGTTATACATCGTTGAGATGTAATCATTGCGCACGTAATCTTAAAATAACTAATTACAAAGATTCTGTACCATCATATTTCAATTGCCAAAAAAATATAAATTGTACGGAAATCTTTTGTAACAAACAATGTTATGATTTAGCGATAGCACAATATCATACAGCACTTTGTGGAAAGAATCTTAAACCATTTTTAAATATTCTCCACCAGCATAAATCAGGAAATGGAGATCCTAATCCATTATTTTTATTAAAAATATTTGCAATTGCAAAAATGAGGAATATCTCACCACTTTATATTCAAGAAATTAAGGACTTGGCACAATATAAACCACCTTATATTAAAAAATCAATTAATTCAAATATACCATTTGAAATAACGAAAGAAAGTGAATCATATCTTCCATCAATATATTTTGATTTCTATTTTTCAACACTTGAATTACTTGAAATTTCTCCATATGATATAAGATACGATTTTTGGATTTACATTACTATAATGTGTAAACTTCAAGTCAATTCATTTGGATGTGATGGATTGGCATGTCTTTATAAATTCATGTCTTATATAAATCATTCATGTGTGCCAAATGCTTATACAGATCCTTACATATCTCAAAATTATAAGCAAAATGTTGAAGAATTGAATAATAATAATGGAGAATTTAAAGAGAATAATATGAATATAGTATCTTTAAGAAAAATTCAAAAAGGAGAACAGATCTTTATTAGTTATTGTAATGAAATGTTAAATAAAGAGGACAGAGCAGTACATTTAATTCCAGCTTATGGATTTGAATGTGATTGTGAGAAGTGTAGGAATGAAGAACCACAGGATTTATGTAAAGTGCATTTGCTTCCTGTTTGGTGGTTGGATTGTTCTCAGGAGTAATATTGATGTTCAAATTGATGACTTTCAACTTTAAATCGAAAACAGTAAAATAATTTGACGTATTGAATAATTCTAAAGCAATGCTGCATTTGGGGAAATCATTATTGCAATATACAAATGTATTTCATTTAATTTTAAATTGATTTGCGAG